ATGACGTTTTAATTAAAGCATTCTACCACAAAATAATATACTTTGCTTTTATCTTGCACCTTTCATCCTGAAAACCTCAAATACTTTGCAAACATGAATGGCTTAAAATTCTCAGCAAATAAGAATCACAGACAGAAGCAGAGAAGAAACTCTGTAAGACAGATAAATATAAAGGTAAATTTCTTTTGTCAGGTGTAAGAACTGATGTAGAGGTTAAAATGTTTATTTGTGGCTGCACAGGAAGTCTTGGGAAAAAAAAAACCAAACCAAAATGCCTGATTCCCAGACCTGCACTTTAAGTGAAGACCATGATTTCTTACTAGTACCAAAACTAAAACAAAGATGAGAGAAGAGAAAGGAGAGGAAAAGTTGCAATAACCAGAAATAAATAGGTCCAAATATTAATTTTCTTTTATAAATTAGGAATTGGATTCTATTTAAAAAGTAAAAAAAAAAAACTTGACAGTAGCTGAAAACGCTCCTCTTTGCCTTTTGAAAATGGCCTGGGTTTATATCCTCCAAAGAAGTAATATGGAACCTGGTATCCCATCTTCTCTGAGTGTTCCCTGAACCTTGGTAAAGGAAGCTGATCCAAGCCCCTAACAGCCTCCCAATTCTGACAGTAGCTCAGGACAACACTGTAAAGAGCTGGACAGTCATCAGTACCAAGGGGAAAGCTCCTGGAACAACTTGAGGAACTACAAAGCACAGCTGTGGTTAGCAGTATGTTTTGGTTTTTTTTTTTGTTAATTATTATGTTCCTTTTATCTTCCAGAACTTTTCTGGAAGTACAATTAGTAGGTTGTTACCACCCAGTGTAAACAATATGCCAAAAGAAGACTTTTCTATATGCAGACTTTATTATATAGGTCATTACTCATGCCTCATGGGCATGATATATGATGTACCAGTGTTACAGATAACAGTATTTCGTGCTTGTTTCTCAATAACCTAATCTTTCCACCTCATATCAGGTCACAGACCATGCTTTAGACTGTCACATTTTGATTAGGAACTATTGGTCAATATGGGAAGATCAAATATTTCTATTCCATTTCATTTTATTTACATTTTTTGAGGTATGCAAATTGTTGTGTCTGATTCATAGCTACTATGAAGGAATGAAGAATCTTTTCTAACAGAGTAGTTCTTTGCAGAATACTTATTTTAAATATGTGAATCAAAGACTGGGTAATATCAATTGATTTTGTCTTTTACTTACCTGGAAGTATCTGTCTTTAATAATAGAACATTAGTTAATGCAAAAGTTTGAAATGCCAAATTTTTAGCTGTGTTTTTAAAAGACGATCCCTCAGTTATGTATGCAGATGATTGAACATGCAAAACTGAATGTGCAGAGAAGTATTCCTGTATGTGATCTTATTGTCTGACTCTTCCAATACACAATGAAAAAAAAAGGTTTTCTGTGTTCCTGTTTTGCATATGTAAGTTAGAGTCATAATACTGAAAATATAGTTGCTCATGTCTTTCTTTTATAGAATAGTTCAAAAAGTTTTCCAGTCAACTTCCTTTTATGGTTGGCTTTGGAAAGATAAAAACTATTTAATCTGGATCAAAAACAAATTCTCAGAGCACTTTAACTTTTCAAACATGTGGAAAATACATTTTGAGGAGGAACATAAACAGAATATTTTTCTTTAATCTAGATAGTTTCAAATGACAAATATTTCGTCTTTTCTGATTACTCCCTATAATCTCCATGAAGCTTTTGTGCAAAATTCAAGTGATTTTTCTAGTATTCTGTAAAACAAAAGCTCTTCCTCTCCTTCTTCCTATGGGGAACAGAAGAATTTAAAAAGCATTCTCCCCAAATCTTTGTCTCAGCAGAAAGAGCAAAATGGGGATTGAGTACTTTCTTAGTGTGATCTCTACATGAAGGCTGCTAAAAAGTAGAGAGGAATGTAAAAGAAAATGATTCTGTACGGAGAAAAAAAAAGGTGAAAATCTTTGGGAGATTTTCAGTTTGCTTATATTTTACATTTAAGTACCAGTGTGGTTTCATACAATTTCAGAAGTAGACATAAAAATAAAATGGCAGAACATGTTTCAAAAATCACTTATCAACATTGTCACTATGATGACATACGCCCAAGTGCACAATGAAATATTAGGTGTGAATTGCAAGTAGAATTCCAGCTAACGATAGCAAAAAAACCAAGGGAATTTGCAAAAGCTGGCTAGCATATATTGGTCCTGATACCTGAAGTTGTTTGAAGCCTGTGGCTCTGTGTTCACTAATGCTGTATCTGTGCATTATCAAATAACCTGGGAGTATAAATTTGATCTGAATCACACATAACTTCATTATGGCACTTCAGCTGAATTATCGAGAGACCACGTTATGGTATTTATCCTGGCTTGATACTTGATACCACATTTATCTGACTGGTGGAGGTCAGATGATAATGATCTGACATCTGCTAGGACAAAGATATCCTACAAAACTTTTTGTATAAATGTGAAGTGGCAGAGTGAGCCTGTGGTGGCTCAGCATTTCATGTCATGTGGCTACAATTATTATTTATATTAAATCAAATTTTCCTTTTTCAGAGCTTGAAAACTAGTGATTTTAAAGGTAAAGACAAATGAAGGGAACCTCCACCCTCTAAAAAAAATCTTTAGAACATATTCCTAGGAGCATTGCTGTACAGTTGAGGATTTGAGTGGTTGTGATTGATAGCTTCTTTTATCTATCCAGTTTGGGTCTCATTCTGCTTCTGGGATGGTGGAATTACATACTGGACTATAGTTGGCTTGATTTCCAAAGCTGTAATTTACAGTCCAGTCCAAATGGAGAAGTATTAAAAACTTGTATTTGCACACTTTGACCTGTAAGATGCAGTTACTGCTATAAAAAAAACCCAAACCACTGAAATGCGCTATCTTAGCTACAGGAAAAAGTATGTTTGATTCTGAG